GTAAATTCTGCCTTTGATCAGGTGGGGAAAGAATAATCTGTATGGTCTCTTTTAGTGTATACTGAAACAGCTCAAGGCATTCAAGGCGCGCTCTGATTGGCCACTTAAACGCCGAACATCCCTTGCTATTTACCTCTGAGCAACTCGCAGGGGATTAAGGTCCAAAATATCGTAATCGTTAAAGGAATAAATAAGTTAAGATCATCTTTTTGTGCTATTTAGTATTTACTTAAACAACTATCCACCTCAGAATCGGTGGTTAACGAGGATAATTACCTCGCCGCTTCGGGGCTTGGTAAACATCCACCACCAGCATTCATCTACCACAAAACGTTATCTACTACGGTGAAGAGTTATAAGCTACCGTTGATTTAATCCAAAGATTGCTTCACTATTACTATTTCCAGTTGTTCTCATTGCCACAAAAAGGTCGAATGCTTCATGATAGTTTGGTTTAGTCACCTGAGTTGATAATGCGAATTAGCCACCATGAAGAGATTAAGGTCAGCTTTGTTGGAATGGCATCCTGAAATTCAGTTCATGCCAAGAACAAAAACCGATTCATACATTGATCGACTCACCACAAGTACCACCCAGTCCTGAAAAATTGAAGAATAAGAATTGCCTTACTGAAATATTCTCTTTTACCCTTGACGTAACCTCATCGCCTCCAGAGACCTAAGTATCTAACCTCTAACAAAATCAATTAATTGAATGATTTGTTTGCAGGCTCATGAGAGTTCTACAGAAACAGAACCACTGACGACAGTGGTGACTTCACTGAGACTTTCACAATCCTCGCTGACGAGAGAACAACCAGTATCAGCAATAGTGGCTAACACTGAGGAAGGAACAGGAGAGACGCCCGAGATGAGCTCCGTTGCTGCTGCATGCTCCTCTGGTCAGCAGGTCATGTCCTTAACGACGTTTTCCTCACGTGAAAATTATGAGAGTTCTTCAGAAAGAGAACCAGTGACGACAGTGTTGACTTCACTGGGTCTTTCACAATCCTCGTTGACGAGAGAACAACCAGTATCAGCAATAGTGGCTAACACTGAGGAGATAAGCTCCGTTGCTGCTGCATGCTCATGTGGTCAGCAGGTCGTGTCTTTTACGACGTGTTCTTCACGTGAAAATTATGAGGCGTTGCACAACTCCACTGAAGTGAACGCCCAAGTTGCAGCAGCTCCAAATGCAGGGAATGAAAACATTGTCCAAGTTCAAGAGGAAACAGTCCGACGTCCTGACACGTTCAGAGAGAACAAACCTCCAAATAACACAACTCAAGGAGTGAATCATTCGGAAGATTACCTGCAACCGGTGGAGCACTTACACTTACAAGCTGCGTTTCAAAACGGAAATAGCTCCCGATGTTGTCGTGGAAAGATACAAACCTTGCCTCAAGGTCGTCCTGTACCTAAGCCCAGAAGAAAATTGTCCACGTTTGCAGGAATGACGTCAAATTCGCGCAGGCAAGGGGTTCAACAACAAGCAGATGTCGAACGAGTTAACCAATCAAGGTTCTGCACTCCTCATCCAAGAATTCTACAAGGAGAACACAGTTATCAGAATGATAGATGTGCAGCAACCCCGTATGAGAGCCCAAGTTATCTACAATCAGTTTTACCTTCTACTTCCAGGAGGGAGTCACCATACACGAAAGTGCAGAACAACACCAACTGGGAAGTGCCCAGCAAACGCTTGAGACTATTTAAAAGGATCGGCGGTGGAACATTCGGTCAAGTGTGGGAAGGTGCTGTATTGGATGTGCGTAATACTCAAGGCTGGTCTATTGCAGCTGTTAAAATGCTAAAGGGTACGTGCTACTGCTAACAAAATACATAAATGCCTATAAATCCGTCCTGACTATCGACAGCTTTTAAGGCGAAAGGACGGAGCACTAAATCTAATACCTCATATAATTCTCTCAGAGGTGTTTGCATGCACTGCTAAAAATCTTAGATTCGTAAATGATATTTTCTTTGAGATAACTAATCTAGGACTGGGAAACGTCACATAATCATGCAGCTTCTAATTTCGCTATCTCTTACACACACAAAAAACACGTTATCATTTAAAACCAAAGAGATAATGTTACATTAAAAGTGCTTAAAATTTAAGATTCATCTTCGTTCTCTAATGAGTGAGGAATTAGTAGCATGTGCTGCTGGATCACCAGTAACAAGAATTGATAAAGGCACATTGTAATGCAAGCAGTACTTCTTCAAAAAGAAGGAAAGAGTTTTGTGTCGTATCAATAAGTTATTGAGGAAGTCGCAACTCAATCAGAAAAACTCTTCATTTTTGTGTAAGGATAAGCTACGTAGTAAAAGCCTCAAAAAGAAAAATTCTTTGGACCAAGTTTTCTGAAGGAGCGAATGAACAAGATTAAGTTAGAAATACTGTAACTAAAGTTCTCGTGACATTCGCTGTTGCAGAAAATTCCTCGAAGTCGGATCGAATGGATTTGTTGTCAGAGCTGGACTTGTTGAAGAAACTTAAACCCCATCCCAACGTGATACAATTGTTGGGCTGCTTGACAAAAGACATACTCCGATGTAAAGGAGGGCGTGAATTTAGTGAGTCGGATTATTTCTATCCTATATGCGAGAAGTAAAGATATAGTCGGGAAGGGAAAAGTCTGTCTTTGTTATATCAAAACTGAAAAACATGCACCCTGAAGAGATTTGATTTCTTTGTTTGCTATTGTTGCTTGTTTGTATGTTTGTTTGTTGGTTTTTTCATAATCACACCCCGATTGCGTTGTTCGACGGGACGAGGAGACTGGGACAGTCGCTTTTACTTCAGAAATTGTTGTTTCAAAAACCAGAGCTGATCGGAAATAAAAAAATAAATTGTATTAGCGGCTAAATGCAGTTATTTGATGGCTAGAGTAGGAAAATAATCGATCTTTCTCTGTGTCAGAATGCCATTGTATAACTTCGACTCCAAGGATTCATTTTCTTTGCATATTCAGGGCCGCCTCTTGTTATTCTGGAGTTTGTCCCTCATGGTGATCTCCTTGGATATCTAAAGAAAAGTAGAGGCGAGACAGATGACTACTACGACGTTGAATGCGCAGAAACTTCATTGAAAATACCAACAGAACAACTTTACAAATTCGCTTGTGATATTG